TTAAATATCCCCTCCCCCCCCCTTCGCCCAAAAAAAAACAAAAAAAAAACTTTGAGTGAGTGGGTGTTTTTCCTTTGCACTTGCACTGCCGCCGGACCTACGTGACGGGTCTGTATGATTCTAACATGAAATCATTTCTATGGAACATTTCGCTGTTTCGTTTTTGTTCGGGTTTCCCCCTACCTTTTTTTAAATTATGTTTCTTATTGAGTTTAAAATAGGCTGCGGCTATCCGGACCCGGGTCCGAGAAGTTAGAGTTTGATTTTTTTTTTTTAAATATTTAAAATTTATTGTAGGGTTTGTAAGACAAACTTTGGTATCAAATGAGAAATAATTGAATGGACTCTATGCTTGTTAACTTACTTCTTAAGTTTAACTAAATTAAACTACCACAAATGACATCTGAATAGCATGTAGTCAAAATGAAACCGGAAGCGCATCGCCGCTATTCGGACCCGGGTCCCTTTAGACTCAATGCTATTCGGATGTCATTTGTGGTAGTTTATTTTAGTTCAACTGAAGAATTAATTTTACAAACATTTAGTCCATTCAATTATCATTCACTTGATACCAAATTTTGTCTTACAACTGAGCAATGATATATATTTTTTTTTTAATTTTAATCCCAACCTCTAACTTCTCGGACCCGGGTCTGAATAGTTACTTCGTTTTAAAGATAATACTTTATAAATGAGGTGTATGTGTGTGTTGTTGTTTTTTTGGGGTGGGGGACATTTCACCAAAGTACGCCATCAGTTAAACACGCTGGTTATATATGATGACACCACAATCGTTTGTTTCATGTATGCTCCCTTGTCCCAACAGAGACCTTAACTGCAACAACATCCTGGTCACCGACCGCCTACAGGTCAAGTTGTCCGGTGAGTTATCATTCACATGTCAGTCGTCTGCTTATCTTGATACACTCGTCTATCAACGTTGGAAGCGGTGATTATCATGCTGTGCTTCTGCTTATCTTGTTGTTGCTGGAGCTGCAGGGCTCTTTGACCATCAAAAGTAAACGTTTAAAGCATAAGATTGGCTGAGAAAATAACCAGATTTAAAAAATAAAAAAAATTAAATCAAAAGGCAACACCCTGGAAACGTTAAAACTCTACACCCCCACCCAGTTTACACTTCTATACCCCCACCCCATTTACACTTCTATACCTCCACCCAGTTTACACTTCTATACCTCCACCCCATTTACACTTCTATACCTCCATCCAGTTAACACTTCTATGCATCCATCCCATTTACACTTCTATACCTCCACCCAGTTTACACTTCTATACCTCCACCCAGTTTACACTTCTATACCTCCACCCAGTTTACACTTCTATACCTCCACCCAGTTTACACTTCTATACCTCCACCCAGTTTACACTTCTATACCTCCACCCAGTTTACACTTCTATACCTCCATCCCATTTACACTTCTATACCCCCATTTACACTTCTATACCTCACCCAATTTACACTTGTATACCTCCATCCCATTTACACTTCTATACCTCCACCCATTTACACTTCTATACCTCCACCCCATTTAAACTTTTATACCTCCACCCCATTTACACTTTTGAAAAAAAAGACTTTAAATACTTCTATGTTGAAGCGATGAAGATTAATCATTTCATTTTTTACATGTTAAGAAAAGAAATTGAAACGTAAAATTGCGCACATTGTTTCCATGCGACGGCCAGGTTACGGTCCGGCCTGTCAACGTGTTCTTATGACCTATGACGCAAGCAAAGGTCGCCTGAAGCTGGGAGCTGGAGCCTACGACATCTACACCCCACCCGAGCTCCTGAGCAAGGCAGCATCTTGGACAAGGAGCTGCGACGTCTGGTCAATGTAGGTCGTGGGAGTCATTGTACTGTTCACTCATCTAAAAAAAAAAAACAAGATTGTAGGGGGTCACAATCAACCACGTTTAGCCAGTCACAGGCAACCATGTTTATCCAGTCACAGACATTTTTAGCCAGTCACAGTAAACCATGTTTAGCTAGTCACATATAGGTTTAGATATGTTTAGCCAGTCAGATATGTTTAGCTAGTCACAGGCAACCATGTTAAGCCATTCACAGTAAATCATGTTTAGCCATTCACAGTAAATCATGTTTAGCCATTCACAGTAAATCATGTTTAGCCATTCACAGTAAATCATGTTTAGTCATTCACAGTAAATCATGTTTAGCCATTCACAGTATATTATGTTTAGCCATTCACAGTAAATCATGTTTAGCCATTCAAAGTAAATCATATTTAGCCATTCGCAGTAAATCATGTTTAGCTATTCACAGTAAACCATGTTTAGCCAGTCACAGCAAACCATGTTTAGCAACTCCCTTTAATAATTTAAACAGATCAAACTTAGTTGATCAATGTACAATTGATCTATAAAGATCTATGTGAAGGGGGCACCTTCCCTTGGCGCCATCTATAGAGGGTGCCAAAATCACAATTTTTATGCAAATAGTGTGTACTTATATGTGTACTTATATATCCGGGTTTTTTTTTGGAAGATGTCCCCTTATTCCAGGCTTTGTCCCCGGGGGAAGGGAAGCTTTTGCTTAACACGGCCCTCATAAAGTAGATCTGCCTACGGCCAGTAGCACGGCCTTGATAAAGTAGATCTACCTACTGACAGATGCACGGGCCTGATAAAGTAGATCTGCCTACTACCAGTAACACGGCCCTGATAAAGTAAAGTAGATCTACCTACTGCCAGTAACACGGCCCTGGTAAAGTAGATCTACCTACTACCAGTAACACGGCCCTGATAAAGTGAAGTAGATCTACCTACTGCCAGTAACACGGCTCTGATAAAGTAGATCTACCTACTGCCAGTAACACGGCTCTGATAAAGATGATCTACCTACTGCCAGTAACACGGCCCTGATAAAGTAGATCTACCTACTGCCAGTAACACGGCCCTGATGAAGTAGATCTACCTACTGCCAGTAACACGGCCCTGATAAGTAGATCTTCCTACTACCAGTAACACGGCCCTGATAAAGTAGATTTACCTACTACCAGTAACACGGCCCTGATAAAGTAGATCTACCTACTACCAGTAACACGGCACTGATAAAGTAGATCTACCTACTACCAGTAACACGGCCCTGATAAAGTAGATCTACCTACTCCCAGTAACACGGCTCTGATAAAGTAGATCTACATACTGCCAGTAACACGGCCCTGATAAAGTAGATCTACCTACTGCCAGTAACACGGCCCTGATAAAGTAGATCTACCTACTGCCAGTAACACGGCCGAGATAAAGTAGATCTACCTACTACCAGTAACACGGCCCTGATAAAGTAGATCTACCTACTGCCAGTAACACGGCCCTGATAAAGTAGATCTACCTACTACCAATAACACGGCACTGATAAAGTAGATCTACCAACTACCAGTAACACGGCACTGATAAAGTAGATCTACCTACTGCCAGTAACACGGCCCTGATAAAGTAGATCTACCTACTCCCAGTAACACGGCTCGGATAAAGTAGATCTACCTACTGCCAGTAACACGGCCCTGATAAAGTAGAACTTCCTACTGCCAGTAACACGGCCCTGATAAAGTAGATCTACCTACTGCCAGTAACACGGCCCTGATAAAGTAGATCTACCTACTACCAGTAACACGGCCCTGATAAAGTAGATCTACCTACTGCCAGTAACACGGCCCTGATAAAGTAGATCTACCTACTACCAGTAACACGGCACTGATAAAGTAGATCTACCTACTGCCAGTAACACGGCTCTGATAAAGTAGATCTACCTACTCCCAGTAACACGGCTCGGATAAAGTAGATCTACCTACTGCCAGTAACACGGCCCTGATAAAGTAGATCTACCTACTGCCAGTAACACGGCCCTGATAAAGTAGATCTACCTACTACCAGTAACACGGCCCTGATAAAGTAGATCTACCTACTACCAGTAACACGGCCCTGATAAAGTAGATCTACCTACTACCAGTAAAACGGCCCTGATAAAGTAGATCTACCTACAACCAGTAACACGGCCCTGATAAAGTAGATCTACCTACTACCAGTAACACAGCCCTGATAAAGTAGATCTACCTACTGCCAGTAACACGGCCCTGATAAAGTAGATCTACCTACTACCAGTAACACGGCCCTGATAAAGTTGATCTACCTACTACCAGTAACACGGCCCTGATAAAGTAAAGTAGATCTACCTACTACCAGTAACACTGCCCTGATAAAGTAGATCTACCTACTACCAGTAACACGGCCCTGATAAAGTAAAGTAGATCTACCTACTACCAGTAAACACGGCTCTGATAAAGTAGATCTACCTACTGCCAGTAACACGGCTCTGATAAAGTAGATCTACCTACTACCAGTAACACGGCTCTGATAAAGTAGATCTACCTACTGCCAGTAACACGGCCCTGATAAAGTAGATCTACCTACTACCAGTAACACGGCCCTGATAAAGTAAAGTAGATCTACCTACTACCAGTAACACGGCTCTGATAAAGTAGATCCACCTACTGCCAGTAACACGGCTCTGATAAAGTAGATCTACCTACTGCCAGTAACACGGCCCTGATAAAGTAGATCTACCTACTGTCAGTAACACGGCCCTTATAAAGTAGATCTACCTACTGCCAGTAAAACGGCCCTGATAAAGTAGATCTACCTACTACCAGTAACACGGCCCTGATAAAGTAAAGTAGATCTACCTACTACCAGTAACACGGCTCTGATAAAGTAGAACTTCCTACTGCCAGTAACACGGCTCTGATAAAGTAGAACTTCCTACTGCCAGTAACACGGCTCTGATAAAGTAAAGTAGATCTACCTACTGCCAGTAACACGGCTCTGATAAAGTAGATCTACCTACTGCAAGTAACCCGAGATAAAGGGAAACATGCAAAAATTACATTAGACCCCATGCTCACTGTTTTACACTGCAAAAATTTAATTACTTTTTTTTTAAAGAGTTAAATATTAAGTGTAAATGATTTCATGTCACAGACAGATATTCACGAAAGGATATCAATATCATTCATTCTGCGTACACATAATCATTGGCACTATGAAAGTTGAAATGATAAAGTAAAATCCTGGGCTACCTTATAGGCTCATGTATTCTTCATGTGCTTCAATCTTTTCCAGGGGCATAGTCCTTCTTGAAATGACACTGGGTGAGATACCACCGGCAGTCAACGCTGCTGTCCGCCTCAATGGAAGCATTAAAAAGTTTGAACGGATCGCGCTGGACAACTGTGGCTACCGTACGTACGGCTAGTTTTATGAAGACACGTCAAACTGTGTCATGTTTAGTCACCAAGAAGGACTTTATGCACACAGGGCAAACCTCATGCATGCCTCCGTGTCCCGTTCTCCCATCATTTTCCTAAATCTGATATCGGTTAATCTGTTTACTTCGTCATCCTTATTGTAGTTGTGCGATTTCGTTTATCGTGAGTTGTGAGATGTTGGTCGTTATTAAAGATGATATCAAATGTTTCTTGATACGTGTGTCCTGTGGATTTGCAGGGGCGGAAGAAACGCCCCTTTCTCTTTCTGCGCCACCAAACGATGGGATTCTCTCCCATTACACACCCGCAATATACCGACCATCCCAGCCTTCAAAACTGCACACACGACCCATCTCTTCAAACTCTACTCTGCCGACGTATTCTCAACCTCGTTAGACCCATAAGCAATGCTCGATGCTGCTGGGTGCCATCCATGGCTGCCCGCAGGGGGGGGGCGACAAGGGGGGCACTCCCCCCCCTGGATTGAATGGATAAAATTTTTTTAGACAAAAATAGACAAAAAATGTATTAAAGTAAAGAGAAAATAAAGAGAAAGTAACTAAGCTGATGTCCTGTCCGTTCGTTCACCATACAAATACGCTACAGTAAATTAAAACTATATTAAAACATTACTAAACATTTTTTGCCCCCCCCCCCCCGGGAAAGTTAATAGATTTTTTTAGCCCCCCCCCCCTAGAAAGTTTTCTACGGGCGCCCATGAAAGTGTAATAATATAAACTTAAAGTTACAGAGTAATAATCAAGTAACATTAAAGAGAAAATAAAAAGAAAGTAACTAAGCTAATGTCCTGTCCGTTCGTTCACCATACAAATACGCTACAGTAAATTAAAACTATATTAAAACATTACTAAACAATTTTTGCCCCCCCCCCTGGAAAGTTAATCGATTTTTTGCCCCCCCCCCCGGAAAGTTTTCTGCGGGCGCCCATGGTGCCATCCATGGCTAGACAGGGGTTAATAGTACTTGGGTGGGTGAGGTCAATATTTCTACACAGCTGTTTTTAAATGAATAATTTTATGTAACTCTTAATGTCATGTTTCTGTTTTTCTTTTTTTTTAAATTCATTTTCTTTTTGCTAATTTTAATGTGAAGCATGGTGAGCCTCGCCCTAGGCATGGGTACCGTGCTATATAAGACCATACTAATAATGATAATTTTGGAGCATGCAAAATGCCTGGATCAGGAGATCCGCGTGTTCCAAGGAAAGTGTTTGGGATGTGAAAAGGTTTAATGATATGGCGCGCGTTGTTTGTGCTCCGTCGGGAATTCACCGAGGCACAACCTACACATCATTAGAAGAAGGACGCACCGTGATGCTTGCCCTGTGCAGGGACGCATGACGCTGCCAGTGAACGCCCATTCAGACACGGGTGTTCTCTTACAAAAGATATGTGGTCCCGGGTGTCGAATTTCTGTGACTGCTCTTAAAGGTTCTTACAATGCCACATTGACGCCCCATGACGTCACATCCCGCCGAATGCTGCATCTCTGCTGGTTTCAAACGTATCTGGCACTCGTTGGTGTTTGCGTGACGACTAAGACTTGTGTGAATAGAGTGGTAGTCAGAGAAGCACTTTCCCCACCAACAAACAAAAGAATAGTTGATAAAAAATGAAACGAAGAGGTGGTTTATTGATTTGTTTTGTGTCAGGAGTAAGTGGTTGAGCTGTCTTGAAGCTCTGTTCTATGTTATTCCAACATACACTCATGCGCTTTAAGGATTTTTTAAATATATATTTACTGTGCCTAGGAGTAAAATGTACCTCTTAGAACCTAAAAGTGTCGATATATAATCACTAAAAAACAAAGTATCGCTTGAAGTGTCTTAAAGTCGTGTCCAAAATGCAGTTGTCGGTTTTTTTTAAATGTCGCCCAATGACATGTGTCTATTTCAGATAAGGTCACCCAATTCCAAAGTGTCTAATTCAGTTAACGTCACACAATTCCATGTGTCTTTTTTCAGAGCTGAGTATATTGATTGACAAAATCTTGCAGCCGCGCCCATCTCAAAGACCCAGTGTCTGGGCTCTTTCACAGCACGCCTGGCTGTCTGACGGTACGGAAATGGCGGGAGAGCTGAAGAAGCATGCACGGAAGAAGGGCATCAGACGGACAGACGGGTCGACATTCCCATTGGTTGGTTAACCCCTAAGCTACCATGTTGAGGAAACGTTGGAGCAAGGTATGTGGAAGCTTGAAATCTATCACCAAGACAGTGAAAGAAGAGCGTTTGGGCCTTGGAAGGCTGTTGGCCGAAACGCTCTGCTTTTCTTGTCGTGTTTATGTTATTTCAAGCTCCCACATACCTGGTTCCGCTGTTTCTTGCGTCCTTCTCACAGCTGTACGCAGTCCTTCATTCATTATCAGCTATCCTTTTAGGGCAAGGTCCGACAACTTTTTAAGCTGTTGGCTGAAAATCTATTTTTTTGTCGTCGCCTTTAACACCCCCCACCCCCACGCCGTTGCAAAGGAAATACGCCTTAGGCCATTTAAATACCAACAGCAGTTCTAAATAAATACAAAGTATCAAATAAATGCGGTAAATTAAATTAAACAAGAACCTCATTCTGTAAATAATCGATTACTCTGATAACATCTCAAGTTTTTTTTAAAAAGAGATTATGTTGTTTCAATTTTTTAAACAAATTGGGCCTTTTTTTTTTTGCCGTCAGACAATTTAGACTGTCTTTGGTGTCCCACTGTTTTATTTGTATGCTCATTTGTGTAGAAAAATAGTTGTTCACAAAGGTAGGCTGTTCCCAAAAGGTAGGCTGTTCACAAAGGTAGGCTGTTCACAAAGGTAGGATGTTCACAAAGGTAGGCTGTTCACAAAGGTAGGCTCTTCACAAAGGTAGGCTGTTCACAAAGGTAGGCTGTTCACAAATGTAGGCTGTTCACAAAGGTAGGCTGTTCACAAAGGTAGGCTGTTCACAAAGGTAGGCTGTTCACAAAGGTAGGCTGTTCACAAAGGTAAGCTGTTAAAAAAGTCGGCAACTTTTTTGACTGCCATCTAATGTGCCGTTGGGAAGCCTTTGCAGTTCTAGGCAAATTTGATCCTAAGCTCAAACAATGGTCGACTGTGACGTAGGACGTAGCAAGGAGAGACGTGTGGTCATTCTAGCTGTCGAGCCACCACTGGATGTAGCAAGGAGAGACGTGCTGTCATTCTAGCTGTCGAGCCACCACTGGATGTAGCAAGGAGAGACGTGCTGTCATTCTAGCTGTCGAGACACCACTGGATGTAGCAAGGAGAGACGTGCTGTCATTCTAGCTGTCGAGCCACCACTGGATGTAGCAAGGAGAGACGTGCTGTCACTCTAGCTGTCGAGCCACCACTGGATGTAGCAAGGAGAGACGTGCTGTCATTCTAGCTGTCGAGCCACCACTGGATGTAGCAAGGAGAGACGTGCTGTCATTCTAGCTGTCGAGCCACCACTGGATGTAGCAAGGAGAGACGTGCTGTCACTCTAGCTGTCGAGCCACCACTGGATGTAGCAAGGAGAGACGTGCTGTCACTCTAGCTGTCGAGCCACCACTGGATGTAGCAAGGAGAGACGTGCTGTCATTCTAGCTGTCGAGCCACCACTGGATGTAGCAAGGAGAGACGTGCTGTCATTCTAGCTGTCGAGCCACCACTGGATGTAGCAAGGAGAGACGTGCTGTCATTCTAGCTGTCGAGCCACCACCTTGGGTTATGTGGGAAAGACACTTTATTTTCACGGAGAAAAGAGCGAGAACATCGGTTCCACTTTCATTTCATTGGTTGCTGCCCCGGTTTGGAAATTTGAACATGGATTGGATGACCGTACCGTAAATTAAAATGAAACAAATTATTCACATTAAAATTATAACATAAAAAAGGCAGGCTGTTGAATAGAATTTAGAAACAGCACAGGTGATTTTTTTTTAGGAAGACACCAGAATTTAAGAAATCTTCTTCTTCTTCTTTATTTTGAGGGCCCATGATCAATGAATTGAGCATTCTGGCTCCTATGTTTCAGAGGGGTTCGCGATGTTACTGGGCATGTGTTTCAAAGGGATACTTTCTCTGGTTGCAAGGGCTACTCAGCAGTGGTTTTAAGAAATGGGGGTTGGAATGCAGGAGGCAATAGACACAAATGTATCGAGTGTAGCCGCCTCAACTGTTGCTTTTGGAAGCTTGTTCCAGTCCCCTATTGTCTTCGGCAGGAATGAGGAGCTCCTGTAATTTGTTCTTGTTTTTACCAGCTGGAACTGTCTGTCGTGGCCTCGTCGCTGTCTAGGGGGAAGATGAACGAGTTTCTGTTTGATTCCTGAGCAGTGGACCAGCCCATTTTTTATCTTGTACAACATGATGAGCCTGGATAGTCGTCGTCGTTCTTCCAATGTAGACCAGCCCAGTGTTTCTAGTATGCTGCCAACACTTGAGGTGTTTCTGTAGCGGTTCAGGACAAAGCGTGCTGCCCGTTGCTGGACCGCCTCCAACCTGTCGATGCTTTTCTGGGTAAATGGGTCCCAGATTGTAGAAGCGTACTCTAAAAGAGTCCGGACAAAGACTTTATAGGCTTTTTCTTTCACGCCTGAGTTGTCGATCTCCAGATTGCATTTCTCGCAGCATAATCTTGAATCCTGGTTAGATTTGGCCTTCTGTATTGCTTTTTTGTTTGTTTGTTGCAAGGGCCTAGTTTCGCGCACCTTCCTCCTTTTTTGACTCCTTCATACACTGCTGTTTGACTCCTTCATACACTGCTGTTTGACTCCTTCATACACTGCTGTTTGACTCCTTCATACACTGCTGTTTGACTCCTTCATACACTGCTGTTTGACTCCTTCATACACTGCTGTTTGACTCCTTCATACACTGCTGTTTGACTCCTTCATACACTGCTGTTTGACTCCTTCATACACTGCTTTTCGCCAGCTGGAACGTTGCTCGGCGATGAGATCCCATTCATTGATTTCTATGTTGGCTTCCCTGATGCTCCTTCTGCAAACGCCCATAAATCTCAGGCGTGGCCGTCCAATAAATCTTCTCCCTTCTGCCAACTCTCCATACAGCAGATTCTTTGGAATACGGCCTTCCTCCATTCCTTACATGGAATAAATATCGAAGGCGCCTTTTGTTAAGTGCGGAGAATACGCTACATATTTTTGCACATTCCAAGAACTCAGCCTTGGACACCTTGTCCTGCCAACGAATGCGTAAAATGCGACGCAGGCGTCTTTGATGGAAGCTGTTGAGTTTCCGCTCATGACAGGCATATGTGGTCCGAACTTTACTGCCATATAGGAGCATACTAAGCACACATGCCTGATAGACGCTTAGTTGTTTTTTTTTTTTTTTACTATCGGTTAGTTTAAGATTATTCCACACCATCTATGCATATATTACTAAATTAATGTTTTTGTGTCTCTTTCCCAAAGCCCAAAAGAGTACATAACCAAGACCCGCTTTCTAAGCTGTTGAGTTTCCGCTCATGACAGGCATATGTGGTCCGAACTTTACTGCCATATAGGAGCATACTAAGCACACATGCCTGATAGACGCTTAGTTGTTTTTTTTTTTTTTACTATCGGTTAGTTTAAGATTATTCCACACCATCTATGCATATATTACTAAATTAATGTTTCTGTGTCTCTTTCCCAAAGCCCAAAAGAGTACAGAACCAAGACCCGCTTTCCCGAGAAGCTTTTTATGCGTACTCTGAGTCCGATACTCCCCCACCGGACGATAAGGCATCATTCAATCCTGGCCTCAGCCCGCCTTACTCTGTCACCAACGAGGAACCAGTCCCACGTGACTCCAGCGATGAGAAGGGTGACGGCGACTTCGGCATTGTTCTGTGCGGGGTTAAGCAGTACTTCAACGCAGACGACGTCTACAAATACGAGAAGTACGCCGCGAGGACGGTCACCCCAGGCGGAAGTGTTGAACACGTGCGCACCTCCCAGCTGAGTCCTGCACGTAAAGCCGAGCCCTGTGGGGCCGCGGTCAAAAACCAGGTGTTCATCTTTAGGAGTGGCGGGAAAGCCAGCAGCATCGGATTTCTGTCTCGTCTGATCGAGGGACTGGATTGTGTGTCGTCGGGAACAGCCACAAATGTTGACAACCGAAGGACTCACGAGTGTTCCAGTCCCGGTGTCTATGATGCGTTACCCGAAAGAGTCCAGGACGTGCACGGGAAACCGGTAGCCAGGAGCAAAGACAAAACGGCGGGCAAGAAAACGTACACGCAGTGGGAACCAGGAACTTCATTTCAACAGACTTTGGCCGACACGGCAAAAAGCTGTTACTCAGAACCCAGTCCAAAGAAGCTAACCTGTTATGGTGTAGCCCTGAGGCGGCTGGAAGAGAGCTCGGAACACTCTGGACCGGAAGAGTTGTGCGAAAGTGGGGGGAGCTGCAAGCGGTTTAGCGCGTACCTCAGTGACTTTGTGCTGGAGGACGACGACACGGCTCTCGAGGAACTGGAACAGCTGATCAAAAAAGAGGAGCAGGTTTTTTGGAGAAACGAAATGTTAAAGAAAGGGGCGAAATGTGTTTAAAAACACCACTGTGCTTCGCTCCGCGTGAAGACGTACTAAACAGCCGAGCTTCTAGTGGACAGCTATGCGTTGATTCAACTTGTAATTATGGCTGGAGCCAGGGGCTAAGATGGCTGTGTTTAAGGGACGTTTCCACTTAAATAAAGTTAGCTTTAAGTTCATCTTAAAAAATGCTACTGGTGCAATACGAACAAACGCAAAGGGCCAGAAGTGGATCAAATGATAAGCTAGACGGAGTGTGAAGTGCCGATGATAGATGTCGAAAATCAAGGGTCAATTTTGATTCTTCAAAAAGCCTATAATAAAAACGTAAAATAAATTCTTTCATTCATTTTCTTTTTCATTTAAAAAAAAAAAAAAAAGAAAATATAAATTTTAAAAAATAATTTGGTTTGATTTTAACTCGTCAAATGTTCTCAAACAATTGTTTCCATGCACCTGCGTAACTGGGGTGGGCAGAGGAAGCGTTTCCGACCCGGGTGGAAACGTCTTTTCCATAGATTCAAGAGGCGGCATTTTCGGTAAACTTCATGTTTTTTTTTTATTTTGTTGGAAGGGGCTGAAAAAAAAAAGATCTTGTCCCGCCCTGGGCGCAGAGCCGGCCTTAAGGGTGTGAGACCTGTGCCCTCGCACACGGCACCGTGTCCACAGGGGCGCCTATGGCGCACAGTAAAATATTTAAGTTCCGTTAGTTTATTATAGTGAAGTGTGAACCTCAGGTCCTGGGTCGAGAAACGGTATTCTAAGTTTTCGTACAATCACTTTTCACACAATGAGTTTTCATACAATGAGTTTTCATACAATGAGTTTTCATACAATGAGTTTTCATACAAAGAAAGTTGCATTCTTAATGTGGATACTAACACTGGGGTTGGGACCAACCGAAGGGGCGTGGAAATTAATTGATTAAAACCATATTTCCTTGTCCCTCGTACACTTATTTCAGCAGAAAGAATCTGGGGAACAAAAAGCTTTCCGGTGCGTGACGGTGCAAAGCATAAAAAGTACGTTGTAATCTGAAAAAAGAGCGGAGCCATATAGGGAAGGGGGGGGGGGGCGCCGAACGGGTGCTTGCACAAGGCGAAAGTTGACAAAAGGCTTAACTTAGGCGCCCCTTAAAAGTATTATCATTTAAGGAAAAAACGAGTTATGAGAAGTTCATTTTTTGTTTAAAAAACCAACATAGGTAATAAACTCTTTATAAGAATAACTCGTTTTTTTTTCAGCAGAAAGAATCTGGGGAACAAAAAGCTTTCCGGTGCGTGACGGTGCAAAGCATAAAAAGTACGTTGTAATCTGAAAAAAGAGCGGAGCCATATAGGGAAGGGGGGGGGGGGGCGCCGAACGGGTGCTTGCACAAGGCGAAAGTTGACAAAAGGCTTAACTTAGGCGCCCCTTAAAAGTATTATCATTTAAGGAAAAAACGAGTTATGAGCAGTTCATTTTTTGTTTAAAAAACCAACATAGGTAATAAACTCTTTATAAGAATAACTCGTTTTTTTTCCTTTAATGATTATACTTATAAAGGGCGCCAAATTTAAGCATGCACGGGGCGCCAGCAACTGTTAGACTGGCCCTGCTGGGCGTCTCCAACCCTACCCATGCCCCCGGTTTAATTTTTCTCACCTTCGGAATAAGGATTTGAGTATTAGTAAGAGACCATGACCCTTATGATTGGCTTTCTATTCTTGTCTGATTACCAACATGGGTAGGTATACGAGTTACAAAGAGCATGGCTAGGTATATGATTTACAAAGAGCATGGCTACGTATACGAGTTACAAAGGGCATGGCTAGGTATACGAGTTACAAAGAGCATGGCTAGGTATACGAGTTACAAAGAGCATGGCTACGTATACGAGTTACAAAGAGCATGGCTAGGTATATGAATTACAAAGAGCATGGCTAAGTATACGAGTTACAAAGAGCATGGCTAGGTATATGAGTTACAAAGAGCATGGCTAGGTATACGAGTTACAAAGAGCATGGCTAGGTATACGAGTTACAAAGAGCATGGCTAGGTATACGAGTTACAAAGAGCATGGGTAGGTATACGAGTTACAAAGAGCATGGCTAGGTATACGAGTTACAAAGAGCATGGCTAGGTATACGAGTTACAAAGAGCATGGCTAGGTATACGAGTTACAAAGAGCATGGCTAGGTATACGAGTTACAAAGAGCATGGCTAGGTATACGAGTTACAAAGAGCATGGCTAGGTATACGAGTTACAAAGAGCATGGCTAGGTATACGAGTTACAAAGAGCATGGCTAGGTATACGAGTTACAAAGAACATGGCTACGTATACGAGTTACAAAGAGCATGGCTAGGTATATGAATTACAAAGAGCATGGCTAGGTATACGCGTTACAAAGAGCATGGCTAGGTATATGAGTTACAAAGAGCATGGCTAGCTATATGAGTTACAAAGAGCATGGCTAGGTATACGAGTTACAAAGAGCATGGGTAGGTATACGAGTTACAAAGAGCATGGCTAGGTATATGAGTTACAAAGAGCATGGCTAGGTATATGAGTTACAAAGAGCGTGGCTTGGTATATGAGTTACAAAGAGCATGGGTACCTAGGTATATGAGTTACAATGAGCATTGCTGGGTTTTTGGAGTAACAATGAGCTTGGCTGGGTCAAGGGAGTTAAATTAGCATGGTTGGGTCAAGGGAGTTAAATTAGCATGGTTGGGTCAAAGGAGTTAAATTAGCATGGTTTGGGTCAAGGGAGTTAAATTAGCATGGTTGGGTCAAGGGAGTTAAATTAGCATGGTTGGGTCAAGGGAGTTAAAAGAGCATGGTTGGGTCAAGGGAGTTGAATTAGCAGGGTTGGGTCAAGGGAGTTAAATTAGCATGGTTGGGTCAAGGGAGTTGAATTAGCATGGTTGGGTCAAGGGAGTTAAATTAGCATGGTTGGGTCAAGGGAGTTGAATTAGCATGGTTGGGTCAAGGGAGTTAAATTAGCATGGTTGGGTCAAGGGAGTTAAAATGAGCATGGTTGGGTCAAGGGAGTTAAAACGAGCATGGTTGGGTCAAGGGAGTTAAAATGAGCATGGTTGGGTCAAGGGAGTTAAAACGAGCATGGTTGGGTCAAGGGAGTTAAAACGAGCATGGTTGGGTCAAGGGAGTTAAAACGAGCATGGTTGGGTCAAGGGAGTTAAATGAGCATGGTTGGGTCAAGGGAGTTAAAACGAGCATGGTTGGGTCAAGGGAGTTAAATGAGCATGGTTGGGTCAAGGGAGTTAAAACGAGCATGGTTGGGTCAAGGGAGTTAAAACGAGCACAATAATGACAAAAATCAACCGAAGAACACGGTTTAAAAAAACGAAAAGGCGCCAAAGACTAAGATGGACAACAACGTCAAGTTAATTAACACTGTCTTCATTCCCACCCTCACGTAGCAGTGTCAGACCTGGGCTCTGAATAAAAGTCTCGAGGGGAAACAACTTGATCTGGGAGAGGCGATGTTAAGGCGAGCAGCTGATACAATAAGAATGAACCACATTGAGAATCAGGAAAGAAGACAGATGGTTGGTGTCGTCTTAATCAGTCAGTCTATGAACCACCGTCAGATTAATTGGTTAAACCGCCTGGTCAGAATGGCTCTCCACCAACCCCCGCATTGTGAGCTTCCTCTCAGCTTACTCTGATATCAGGACCAGGCCACGGCGACGGTGGGTGGGCTGAGGTTAAGGTCAGCAACACGGGAACTCAGCAGTCCTCACACCTTGCGGCTGTCACTAACTTTATCTTCCCTCCTCAGTGGAAGGGAACTGCAAAAGGAACCCTCCAAATAAAGACTATTATATGTATTATATAAATATATAGATATACGTATATAGAGTTCGTCAGTTGAAATCGACAATGATCATTTTAATTATCGTATTTGTACTAGTTCTGACATCGGCTGTGGGTGCGCAGATGGCTGATGAGAGAGATTCTTCGACAAAATGTTCTTGTGGGGTAGGTACAGGGTATCGATGGGACGTCACTAGGTGCAGAGTTGACCCGGGCTTTTCTGACATGTCTTTTGTGCCCCGCAGCCACTGCTCTATTGGTTTCATGTTGAATGGAACCTTTGTGTTAAGAGGAACGCCACAATACTCGATTTTTTGTCTGATTCTTCCCATGCGTCCGGGTTTTACATCGAACACTGTCAGCGGGGCTTTAAGGTTATCTTTAAAGCGTTTCTTCTGCCCGCCAGCAAACCGCCTTCAATTGCTCGAGCTTAGCATAAAATAAGACTATCACATAAGCCCACATTTTAAATAGCAAATGACGCAAACAAAACCAAAAATCATACTCTCTTCGCCAAGTCCACAAAAGATGACGTAATATCCACAACTCAGCAGCTTCTCTTACGTATTAGGAAACAACGTTAAGACTTAACCGGAAACTTTGAAAATAGCTACACAACTTTTTTTTGTTATTTACTGTATCAAGAGATTTTTTTTAGGATCGTTCTACACATTTGCTTAGTTTTGTATAATCAAAAAGGAGGAGCAGCTATCAAAAACAAAACATAATGAACGGTAGGTATTGAAGCCCACACAAAAAAATCGTCGAGATTCTAAGTTGTTTTTTAAAATAACGACACATAGTTTAATCCCCCCCCCCCCCCCCCCCCCCCTTTCTCTTCACCAAAACACCCCCCCCCCCCCAATTATCTATTTGAAAACTGAGCCCCAATGCCCGATCATCGATAATTCCAACCAAAATAAAAAAAGTTATGACAGAGAGAGCCCATTTATGAAATGTTATAGTTCTAACATCAGTAGCTTGATCTTATTGTAAGTGTAAAGGAAGAGTAATCTATTTCCAAATGTCATCTTTCACTAGTTTCGCGTACACCGCGATGTTTAATTAATAATCTGAAGTCGTATGGTTGGATGAAACTGAAAAGTAAATATTTAAGTACATGTTCAGAGTGTAACGGAAGAGGATAAACGATGCTACTGGGTAGCCCTCCATGGCTTGACATGTAAATAGTTCTTGAACTTGAATGTGTGGAATTCTTTTTAAAAAAATTTAATTAATGTATGCTAATTTTTAAGTTTATGATTATGTTTGTTAAATTGTATGTACAGCGTGGTGAGCCTAGCCCTAGGCTGGGGTACCACGCTATATAAAACCCACCACTAATAATAGTTATAATGTGCTTTATAACAAAAAAGATTTTGGGCAGAGCTTGGAGCCATGAACTGAAATTTAGTCCTGCTTTCACCAAAGGCTCCCATAAGCTCTTTCACAAGTATAAAACAATTTGAAGATTTTAAAAAATCCTATGATGCG